AAAGAATATCTAACACTTACTGAGCACTTACTGTGCCAACTACTGTCCCAAAAAGACAACTAGTGAAAACCATTTGGCTGTTGCTCTACTCTAGCAAGGGAGTTTTTCTCCCCAGGTGTTATTAGGACCATTTTCTAGACCATGAGCCCTTAGCTATTGTGAGGGTTCTCCCTACCACTCTGCCTTGGAGGCTTTCTTTATCCAGCGTGCTAAGTAGGTCTCCTTGGAGCTCATAACTGACCTTGTCCTTATGTAGTTCATCTGGCCTGAAGAATCACTGAATTAGCTTAGTGCTGATAGGCAAGGTAGCCATGCATCTCCTTGCCTGCCCAATTTGAATGGCAGTAATTTCTCATTGGTGATCTACTTCAGTGATGAGAAACTCCAGAATGCAGCACCACCGACATGCTCTGGTATGTTCATAACCAAAATCATGTCTCCAGTCCTGCACTTGGAACTGTTGTGATTACATTCTGCTAGTGCCTGTATTTGTCATAGAGGGACAGTCCTGGGTCTGGGCATGTGTTTCATCATCTTAGTTAGACAGCCAGCATTACTGAGTGTGGGCTATTAACTTGTTTTAGCCTACAGCCATGAATTCCACAGGTGGACTTTGGTAATGTAAGAAATATGCAACTCTCCTTCAAATTATGTATTGGTCTTATTCATTTGGATGAAAAGAGAAAGCACTCATCAGTATTCATTCTGTATTGAGGACTTTTGGCTAACTTCCAAAGGTTATCTTTTCACCTCTCCCCAGTAGAGAAAGTTAAGTATAGTTTTTCTGGTCATTCTGGAAGAAATATTTTCTGACGTTGAACAAAACAATTGGGTCTCATTTTTAAAGTGGTGAATTAATTTAGACATCTGGACTACCACAGTGTTTCTGTTTCACAGCATTAATCGCTATGGCTTTTGGATGGGTGGGTCATTGTTAATATAAGTGGAGAGGGTAGATTGTCCAATTTTCCTTAAAAAGGATTTAAGTAACTTTCACGAAAGAAGTACAAGTAGTCAAAAAACATGAAAAGCAAACAACTAACGATATTTCAAAAGACATAATATTTATCTTTTTAAATTGGCAGTGATTTTTAAAATGCTGTTTTGATAAGGACATGGGAAAATGGGAACTCATAAACCACCTGTGGGAGTGTAAAATCGTGCAAATTTTTTTGGAGGGCAATTTGACAGCATAAACCTTAATTTTTAAAAAATAGATATTTTTATTGATCTTAGAGAGGAAGGGAGAGGGAGATAGAAAAATCAAGGATGATAGAGAATCATTGATCTGCTACCTCCTGCACACCCCTCACTGGGGATTGAGCCTGCAACCCGGGCATGTGCCCCGACTGGGAATTGAACTGCAGCCTCCTGGTTCACAGGTCAATGCTCAGCCACTGAGCCAAGACGCTGAACCACTGAGCCAAGCCAGCTGGGCAAACCATAATGTTCTTACCATTTGATCCCACAGTTGCATTTTAAGTTGTTTATCCTAAGGAAGTAATTTAGTTTTAAGTTGTTGTATCCTAAGGAAGTAATAAAATATTCATTAATAAGAACAAAAATGCTAATAACAGCATCATTTGCACTAGGGAAATGTTGAGAATACTTTATATCCAGTAAAAGTCATGTTCTTGTCCTGGCTCTGGTGTGGCTTAGTTGGTTGGAACTTTGTCCTATACACCAAGGGTGGCGGTTCGATTCCTGATCAGGGCACGTGCCCAGGTTGTGGGTTTGATCCCTAGTTGGGGTGCATGTGGGAGGCAACCAATCTTTCTTCCTTCCTCCCTCTTCCTTTAGCTCCCTCTCCCCTTCCCTCCCTCTCTCTAAGATCAATTTTAAAAAATCATGTTTTTGAAGAAGATGGGAAATTATAAAAATCAAAAAACAATTGTCTGTAGAGCTATTATCAGGAAACCAAAAGGTAAAAAATCCAGTAAAGGGCCCTGGCTGGGTAAGCTCAGTTGGTTAGAGTGTCCTCCTGATAAGTCAGGGTTCCAGGTTCGGTCTCCAGTCAGGGTACATACAACAAGCAACCAATGGATGCATAAATAAGTGGAACAACAAATCTATGTTGGTCTGTCTGTCTCTTAAAAAAAGAAAAAAGAAAAATGGGGCGCTGGTCAGTGTGGCTCATCCATGCACCAAAATATCGCTGTTTCAATTCCTGGTTAGGGCACATGCCTAGGTTGTGGGTTTGATCCCAGGTCAGGATGCATATGGAAGGCAACAGATTGATGTTTCTCACATTGATGTTTCTCCTTCTCCCTCTCTAAAAAAATCAATAAACATTTTTTTAAATGGTTCAAATGGTGACTGTTATGTGTATCTCACCACAATAAAAAAAAAAAATCGACCAAACTGCACTAAGAAAACTTAAAAATAAGTGGAACAACAAATCAATGTTTCCCTTTCTCTTTCTGGAATCAATACATTTTTTAAAATGTTTAAATCTAATATATGATTTGATATTTTGGTGCTCAGCAGAGTGTAAGTTAAAAGTTTGTATTCCTCATTAGAAAACTGTTTCTCTGCTCTAGCTGGTTTCTTCAGTGGTTAGAGTGTCAGCCCTCTGACCAAAGGGTCATGAGTTCCATTCCCTGTCATGGGCAGGTTCCTAGGCCCGGGCAAGAGTGGTAGGCAACCAAAAGATATGTCTCTCTGATGGATGTTTCCCTCTCTCCATCCCTTCCATTCTGTCTAAAAATCTTAAGAAAAAAAGAAGCCCAGCCAGCGTGGCTCAGTGGTTGAGCGTGGACCTATGAACCAGGAGGTCACGGTTCGATTCCTGATCACTGTACATGCTAAGGTTGTGGGCTCAATCCCCAATGTGGGGTGTGCAGGAGGCAGCCTATCAATGATTCTGACACATCATTGATGTTTCTCTCCTTCCTTCCTCTCTGAAATAAAAAAAGAAAAAAATATTTAAAATAAGAAAAAGAAAACTGTTTCACCCTGGCTGGTGTTGCTCAGTGATCGGAACATCATCCTATGCACCGAAGGGTTGTGGGTTGGATTCCTGGTCAGGACACATACCTAGATTGTGGATTGGATTCCCAGTCGGGGTGCATGCGGAAGGCAACCCATCGATGTTTCTCCCTCCCTCTCTCTAAGCTCAATGAAAACATATCCTCAGGTGAGTATTAAAACACACACGAAACTGTTTCTTATTTGAACTGATATATGTTCATTTATTATTATTTAATTCCAGAACTCAATAGAGAGGGAATACATTCTGAAGTAGGCCCTGTGTCTAAGGCCACACACCTTTGCATATTACAAATGTTAAGCATTTCTAATAGGTCCTTTGTCTTGGTTCCTCCGTGTGTCATCAGAGGTTGAGGATTTTAACACCTCTTTATTTTTCCCCCAATGCATCCTTGTTTACCTTTTTTATGACCTGTTTCTTCTAAGGCAGTGGTGGGCAAACCGTGGCTCGCGAGCCACATGCGGCTCTTTTGGCCCCTTGAGTGTGGCTCTTCCACAAAATACCACGGGCAGGCGCACACGTACAGTGCGATCGAAACTTCGTGGCCCATGCGCAGAAGTCGGTATTTTGTGGAAGAGCCACACTCAAGGGGCCAAAGAGCCGCATGTGGCTTGCGAGCCCCAGTTTGCCAACCACTGTCCTAAGGGAATAGTCCAGTTTCCATGTTATATTTAAGCGAAGGCCTTAGGTATTGATTTTTAAGCAGTTTCTTTGTTTTTGTTTAGACTCCTTTTGTCTTTTTGCCAAATGAAGCTTTTTTTTGGCTATCATAATTGACATTGATAGCAGCAATCAGTTTTTTAAAAAAATATATTTTTATTGATTTCAGAGATGAAGGAAGAGGGAGAGAGAGAAACATCCGTGATGAGAGAGAATCATGGATCGGTTGCCCCCCCCCGCAAGCCCCCCAACTGGGGATTGAACCCACAACCCGAGCATGTGCCCCTGACCAGAATCATACCCGGGACCCTTCAGTTCACAGGCCGATGCTCCATCCACTGAGCAAAACCGGCCAGGGCCAGCAATCACTTTTAAAATTGACTATAGAGCGGAAAGACGAGAGAAACATCTGTTCGTTGTTCCACCCATCCATGCATTCATTGGTTGATTTTTTTTTTTAAGGGATTTTTATTTATTCATTTGTTTACTTTCATTAATCCTCACCTGAGGATATTTTTCCCATTGATTTTTAGAGGGAGTGGAAGGGAGGGGGAGAAACAGGAAGAAACATCCATGTGAGAAACACATCGACTGGTTGCCTCCCTCACATGCCTGGACCAGGGCCTCGGATCAAGCCTGCAACCAAGGTTGTCCTTGACTTGAATGGAACCCAGGACCCTTCAGTCCGAGGGCCTATGCTCTATCCCCTGAGCCAAAGTGGCTAGGGCTCATTGGTTGATTCTTCTCTGTTGTCCTGACCTGGAATCAATCCTGTAGACAGCACTAACCAACTGACATACCTGGCCAGCTCAGCAATCAGTCTTAAAACTGTTTCTCTTTCAAATTGTACATTCTAGATGTGAGGAGAATAAATGTATGAGTTTAGTGTAGATAAATACCAAGTTCTCTCCACCTCTTCCTGGAATAGCTGCTGGGACCTATGAAGAAGGAGAGATTGCTACATTCCCTGAGGTTGAAGAAAATATTGCAACAAAACCTTGAACATTACGCTACTATGTAAATGGGATAATAACAGAACATTTTGGGAGAATGAACAGCAGGTCTCCATGTTGCTGTCTTCGATCCAGTATGAGAGCCTGTCCTGAGTGGCTTGGTCTATCATGACCTGTTCCTTCTCTGCTGCAGGTGGTGGTGGGAATCTTTCTTCCCAGGGAATGTTTCAGCTACAAAATACGATTTGTTTGCTATGAGGAGAAGGGGTTATTTTTTTAGACAGTACTTTTTTTTCTGATAAAATATTGACTAAATGTGTGTGGAAATGTTTAAAATCTGTGTTTTTATCACCGGTGTAATACTTCTTTAAATAATACCCTGTTCTATTTTTTTCCAGGGGTGAGCCCCTCCAGGCTCCGAATAGGAGATCAAGAGTTTGATTCATTGCCTGCTTTACTGGAATTCTACAAAATACACTATTTGGACACTACAACGTTGATAGAACCAGTTTCCAGATCCAGGCAGGGTAGTGGAGTGAATCTCAGGCAGGAGGAGATAGAGTATGTGCGAGCCCTCTTTGACTTTAATGGGAATGATGAAGAAGATCTTCCCTTTAAGAAAGGAGACATCCTGAAAATCCGGGATAAGCCTGAAGAGCAGTGGTGGAATGCAGAGGACATGGAAGGCAAGAGGGGGATGATTCCAGTCCCTTACGTGGAGAAGTATAGACCTGTCCCCGCCTCAGTATCGGCTATGATTGGAGGTAACCAGGAGGGTTCCCACCCACAGCCACTGGGTGGGCCGGAGCCTGGGCCCTATGCCCAACCCAGCGTCAACACTCCGCTCCCTAACCTCCAGAATGGGCCCATTTATGCCAGGGTAATCCAGAAGCGAGTCCCTAATGCCTACGACAAGACAGCCTTGGCTTTGGAGGTACATAATGTGCAAAATATAGAAAGAAGAGATCTGCTACAGGATCTCCCTTTTAGACCTCTTAGAGCTTTGTAGGAATGCTGAATACAAGCTCCAGCATTGTGATGTTGTAGATGTTGAACCATTAAGTACTGATTTGGGCATTTAATTGGGTTTTCTCTTTTATAGAAAACCTGTTTTGGAATGAATTAGCTTAAAACTGTATAACTGAATGTTCTGATTGGTCTACTAAACATACTTTGATTAATAACACCACCTGAATTCACAGGAATTAACCTAAAATATTTTTTTCTCATCTACATTCTAACCTGTTCCTTTCTTTTTATCATTGTTCTGAAATAAGGTGGGCTCACAAAGATTTGAGTAATAATAAGTGGTTCCTGTCAGAGCACTTACATGGAATTTTTCCACAGAAACTTCATGTTTTTACTTTTGGGGCATGGGGATTCTTATTGTTGATTGATTGTGTTCAAGTAAGAATTCAGGAGGAAAAGTAAAGCATAGTACAGGTGTGAAAAGATATACTCAAAAATATTAATTCCAAGGAGCAGCAGGTTTACCTGGTCTTTGTTGTATAATGCATTTTGCAGGCAAAAAGCTAGTTCCTCCTGAGGAATAAATTATTACCTTTTACAGGTAAATAGTTATCCTTGGTAGCCCCTCTTCTCTGGCCAACCATTGTGTTTATTCCTTTATTCCTCTCTTTAGCATTCACAGCTTTGTCTCTTTCCTCCCTCCCTTTCCTTTTCTCCCTACCTCCCCTTTACCTCTCCCCCTTTCTGAGTTATGCAGAGCTAGTGGTTCATTATAAAAGCTTGTACAGGAGTGGCATGCTATCCCATCTTTCAGAGTCTCCTGATATTATAACCTGAATATAAGGAAGTAACTTTCATAAGCACAGGCTGTAGTTACGTGAGCACAGATTAGCTGAGAATGGGCAAATGTGTATTCTTAGAAACTTACATCTTCCCTAAATTTTGTTTTCTTTGGTCATGTTCATACACTGTGGAGTAAGAGCTGCCCTCTGTCTAAATGGGGGAGTGTTAGCCCACAGAATAAGCCAGAATTTATTTGGATCAGTCTCTGATATTACTGGATTTGAAGTTTTTCTTTTACATTCTGGATAGTGTATGCAGAGGTGAGTTGGTTGAGTCTTACAGGTTTGACTGGAATATGTGTGTTTTTGAAGTGTGTATTCTTTGACATCATGTTATGACTTAAAAGTATTGTGTCCCTGCTTTGAAGAAAAGTGAAATATATGTTGTCTAGGCCACACCACTTTTTCCCACTTAGAGTCTGGAGGATGAAGAGAACAAGTTTCTAGCCTCATGTTTTTATTTCAGTTCAGATGATGGCAACATCCAACATGGTGCTGTGCATCTGACAGTGTGGCTCTTTTTAAAAAATATATATTTTTAATGATTTCAGAGAGGAAGGGAGATGGGGAGAGAAAGAGAGAAACATCAATGATGAGAGAGAATCATTGATCAACTGCTTTCTGCATACCCTCTACTGGGGATCCAGCCCTCAACCTGGGCATGTGCCCTGATGGGAATCAAACCATGACCTCCTGGTTCATAGGTCAACACTCAACCACTGAGCCACACTGACCAGGCAACAGATGTGACACTTGACAGTCATTGCAGACTTTGTTAGCACTGGACTGGAGTGTGGTAATAGCATTCATGGGATAAGTTAGCTAACACCAGGAGAGAATATATATCACATTAATTTTCCTTCCATTTTCATGTTCTTTCTTTTTTCAAAAATATGTTTTTATTGATTTTTAGAGAGAGATGATGGGAGAGGGAGAGAGAAAAATCGATGTGAGAGAGAAACATCGATCAGCTGCCTTCCCTATACAACCCAACCGGGGACCAAACCAGCAACCTGGGCATGTGCCCTGACTGGGAATCGAACCATCTACCTTTTGGTGCATGGGACCCGATGCCAGCCAGTGCTGCATTTGCTTTTTTTTTTTTAATATATTTTATTGATTTTTTACAGAGAGGAAGGGAGAGGGATAGAGAGTTGGAAACATCAATGAGAGAGAAACATCGATCAGCTGCCTCCTGCACGCCCCCTTCCCTACTGGGGATGTGCCCACAACCAAGGTACATGCCCTTGACCAGAATCGAACCCGGGACCCTTCAGTCCGCAGGCCGACGCTCTATCCACTGAGCCAAACCCGTAAGGGCTGCATTTGCTTTCTGAAAGAGAATTGTTTTTAATGATGCCTGCCTTCATTAGAGCCTTTAGTGCTCAAAAATGGTTGAGCTGCTAGCCCTGCTGTGAAACAAATCCAGTGAAATAGAGATTTAAATAGAAAACTAGTTTATGATTTTAGTAAGTTTTCTTTTTTTTTTTTAAATATATATTTTATTGATTTTTTACAGAGAGGAAGGGAGAGAGATAGAGAGTTAGAAACATCAATGAGAGAGAAACATCGATCAGCTGCCTCCTGCACACCTCCCACTGGGGATGTGCCCACAACCCAGGTACATGCCCTTGACCGGAATCGAACCTGGGACCCTTCAGTCCGCAGGCCGACGCTCTATCCACTGAGCCAAACCGGTTTCGGCAAGTTTTCTTTTTTGATTGAATATTGGTTTTGAGCCACATATGTTGATTGCTGAAGATCGCCTCTTTTGAGTTAGAACAAATACCCCAAGTTATAGCTTTAAAACATCTTATGTGATTAAAAACATGGTGTTAGTTTACCATCGTAGAATTCTATAGTTGGAAAGGACCTTAGATATCCTGATGTTTAGATAGAGTGAATGGATTGTTCAAACCAGGTGGAAGTGGAGATATGATCAACCCATATCTACCTTGGTGCTTTTTCTACCATACTCAAATTCAGTCTGTGATTCTTTTTTTTTTTTTTTAATACATTTTTTATTGATTTCAGAGGGAGAGGGATAGAAACATCAATGATGAGAATCATTGGCTGTCTCCTGCATGCCCCCTACTGAGGATTAAGCCTGCAACCCAGGCATATGCCCTTGACTGGAATCGAACCCGGGACTCTTCAGTCTGCAGGCCAATGCTCTATCCACTGAGCCAAACCGTCTAGAGCTCTTTTTGTTTTATAAGAGTGCGGCTGCCCTCCTCAGTGCAGGTTTTCTGTGGGTTCACTGAAAGCATACCCTCAGTTGTACTAGCTATGCAGGGAGGCGCACAGTTCTCTTTTCCCATTTCTGGATTTTCATAGAAGCTATGCCTCATCCTTATTGAGATGAGGCTGGAAGATAAGATTAGGAGACTCTGGCTTTCTGACCTTCGAATTCTGGTTAAAAAAAAAAAAAGACAACAGCCTGTCCAGCATGGCTCAGTGGTTGAGCGTCGACCTATGAACCAGGAGGTGATGGTTCGCTAAGTCACTTAAAGATACTGTGATGGCCACATGTCTGGGTTATGGGCTCAATCCCCAGTGTGGGGACATGCAGGAGGCAGCTGAGCAATGATTCTCTCATCATTGATGTTTCTGTCTCTCTCCCTTCCTCTGAAATTTTCAAAAATATATTTTAAAAAATGACAACAACAAACACCATTTATTGGTATATATGACCCATTGTAAGTCCAGATCTGTAGACCAACTAGGTGCATTTTAGTGGAGTTTTATACTTAACTTGAATGTTTTTCAATTATTTTCCATTATAGTTGACATTCAGTATACATTTAACTTAAAATTGATTAATTAGAATCATTACATTTTATGTATGTATGTATATATATGTAATTTTCTGGAAGGGTTCTTTGAGTTCTTTTTTCTTTCCTTCTTTTTTAAAAAAAAATTGTGGTTGACATACAATAGAATCATTGTATTTTAGAATTGGGCAGGACCCTAGAGATAATATATTAGACTAGCAGTCTTCAGACTAAGGCTTCTCACTATCCTAAGAGTTCCCAGAAGGTGCCTGGGGAGAGGGGAAAGCTGAGGATGCAAGGCTGTGGGTTCCCTGTCTTGCTTAACCAAAGTAACTGTTTTTATCTGCATTATATATTAGGGTCTCTCTAAGATTATTATTTTTTAAATTCTCACCCAAGGATATTTTTCCATTGATTTTTAGAGAGAGTAGGAGAGAGGGAAAGATAGAGAGAAATATCGATGTGAGAGAAACAGATTGATTGGTTGCCTCCCATATTTGCCCCACCAGGGCCCCGGCCAGGAAGGAGCCTGCAACTGATTTGCATGCCCCTGACTGGAATGCAATCTGGGACCCTTTAGCCCATAGGCTGATGCTCCATCCACTGAGCCAAACCAGCTAGGATAGATGGATTTTTTTTTTTTTTAAAGAAAGGGTTTCTGTATTTTAAAACAGTAAATTAAAAAACAGTGCTGCCCTAACCGGTTTGGTTCAGTAGATAGAGCGTCGACCTGCGGACTGAAAGGTCCCAGGTTCGATTCCGGTCAAGGGCATGTACCTTGGTTGCGGGCACATCCCCAGTAGGAGGTGTGCAGGAGGCAGCTGATTGATGTTTCTCTCTAATTGATGTTTCTAACTCTCTCTCTCTCTCCCCTCCTATCTGTAAAATTAATAAAAAATATATTTAAAAAAAAAAAAAGCCGAAACCGGATTGGCTCAGTGGATAGAGCGTCGGCCTGCGGACTGAAGGGTCCCAGGTTCGATTCCGGTCAAGGGCATGTACCTTGGTTGCGGGCACATCCCCAGTAGGAGGTGTGCAGGAGGCAGCTGATTGATGTTTCTCTCTAATTGATGTTTCTAACTCTCTATCTCTCTCCCTTCCTCTCTGTAAAAAAATCAATAAAATATATTAAAAAACAAAAAAACAAAAAAAAACAGTGCTGAAGAACCAGGTGCCCTTGTCTTACAGCTGGACATTCCCTGCATGGTATATTTGCTGTGACCAGAGTTCCCCACTGGAATATAAGTTACAGATACTTCCTCTTTTCCACTCACCAGATTTCTCTAGTAGAGATGAAGAGTCTGGAAAGAAGAGGTTAATTCTAGTTAACAACCAAAGTATGGGTATTC